AAAACACAGCGCTGCAGCCCCTTCTCACCCCCAACCACCATCTTCTCCGCATCTCGGTGGATTATCCTCATCATCTCGACTACATATGTGGGAGGGATGTCGTCCCTTTATCCTCATCCAGATCCACGCAAATGCTAGGCCTCGTCCCTGCCTACTACTCATCCCTCATCGGCAAGGAACGTTGTCCAGTCACTAGGACAGCAGGATGCTCCTGCCGCGCACCCGAGTCGAGAACATCGCCGCTCCTGAGCAGTCCATGTGCCGAGGATCTCACAAGTGACGGTTGAGGATGCTCACTCAGTAAGCATCGGTCCATCTGCTCGTCTTCCCAAAGCTGACTCACATGACGATTCGAAGGCAGTTCTCCTAGCCGCCCACCGATCGTGGCAGCTAGTGCAGTCGCCGACCAAAATCGTCCTTCATGGTCCCTGGCGTATTTCCTCTAGCACTTCCGGGCCACCGGAGTCTTGAGGTTGTATGCTCGGTGGGGCTGACGGACTTGGACGGTGGCTCCTCCTTGTCATGTCAGCCCCTTCGGCCTACGAAGACGATGGCGACCGCTTCATTCCACTTCTTTATCTCGGAACACTCAGTAAGCCCGAGATCTGCATACCTGTGAGAAGTCCACTGAATACCTGAGGCTCTGTTGTACAGATTCCCTGGGCAAGGAGGGCATTATGGTCATACCAATGGTTTTGGACGCTCCTCGATGCCATCCTTCCAGGGCTGAAGCAGACTGCCTCTCGCAATCCTGCGGTCACTACGCTAAGATTCCTGATGGAAACTTGCGACAGGGGAAATAGGGAGATATGCACAATGAGTTGTCCTGACACATCGGATATGTCTTCGCACCGTTGTACTCGAATATGCGGAGGAACACTTTACTGGAATTGTCGGGATGCGAGTGATGTGTGGTTCATGTTCACGCCCCCTTACTACACAGTGATGTGCGGGTTGACGCAACCGTTGACCAGGTTGACAGGTATAGTAAACCCGTCGACATGTCGACAAGGCCAACGGTAAACTTTCGCACGCTCACATGCCTGTCGACGACCTTCGGCGACCCAGCGGCTCCGACGACGCTCTTCCCCTACGTCAGCGCCTAATCCCTTTGTCCGCTCGTCCTCCCCGTGGTCTGAATTGTCGAGCTCTCCCCGCTCGTCCGTTTGACTTGAAATTTGGTATAAGGTTTCCTCAGCATCAATACTATCTTCTACTAATGCAAGATCAGCGCTCAAATCCCTCTGACCGCATTGCCAACCCGCCTTTGTCCTCCTACCCTCTCGCCTACTCTCACCACTCCCCTTTGTCAATATAGCAATATGCATCATATTCCGAGTACAGTACTAGTAAGTGAATCTGGTTGGTACCTCCCTGTGCCATCCATTGTCCCCAAATTGTCCATAGCAGGCTCTCCATCAGCATCCCTGTCCAAGATGTTTCATACCCCAAGTTCCTCATCCAGCATTGCTCTCATGTCAGACTCTCTTCTCTGTTTTTGGCATTTACCAGTATGAGAGCAGAAGATTGAAGAGAAATTCGAGCTCAATTCTGATGATGAAGGGAAAGTTGTGTCATTGTTTGCATCAGTGTCCTCATACTGATGCTGCCTAACAAGGTCACAGAAGCCTCCTTGCAATGGCGTACCTCCAGGGAGCCCATATGCTTTGTTGAGCCTGTAAATAATGTGAGACGCTCACCGGCTCTATATCCAATATCACACTATGGCGCCCAGGACTGTGCAAAACCCACAGGGGGAAACCGAGGAAATAGTGCGGTCCGGCCAAGGAAATGGAGCAGAAAACCCTGGTTGAACACCGGTTTATGGACGGGCAAAAAGCGCGTCAAGATGACGGCTTTCCACGGTCAATCTGGCGTGGTCTCAGACAGGAGAAAAACCTCGGTTAGACAGCGGGTCAGAAGGGCGGGATTTACATCTGTAAAACATGGGAATTTGCACGGTTTCTGGGTGCCAGATCCTCGCTTGTGCCAGCTGGATACTTATCAATAGGGAATCACTTATGATGCAGTGCAATAGTGTAGCTAAACACGCTGCAGATTGCAGCGTTACGGTCGCATTACGGCATGCTGAGTACATAGTACAGGTAGGGATATCAATATAAACTATGCAAGCTCGAGACCCTCTGGTACTCTCAACGACCACATCCTTTTAACCCTTGCCACTCCTGCAGTACATCCATGCCAACACTAAGGACACATATGGGAGTTTGGGTAGACGGAGTCAGATATTCAGGGAAGAGCAGCAAATACTCACCAGGGAGGACACAGATATTTGAGAAGAGTGACTGACCTGATCGATATCTTTGCCAAAATGGCCAAACAACATAGCTGGACTTACCTGAGAAACTCACAACTTTGAAGATTGCGACTTACCTTATGCCGACCGTCCATCACTGGGCTCTGCCCGACGACTCTGGTACCATATGCACTCCCCAGGAACGGTTATGAAGGGGACCAAGAAATGTAGACACGACAGCAGTCATGCACCCAACGCACCTTTAGATAGTTCCATGAAAGTCAGATGTCACAAGGCGATGACAGACGAGAGAATGGTCAGAATCAGAG